CACCTGACTTTCCCTATCAGTCCCGCTTCTGCTAAGGGGATGCCGTCCTGCATGAGGACAAGGGCCCAGGGGTCTGCTGAGCCTCTCCCCATGCCCGGCCTTCCTCCTGCTGGTATAGTTGGGGCGCTGAGGTTCACCCTCCCCATGGCAGGGTGGTGGGGGGCGGGTTGGGGGCAGGATCTGCAAATGTAATGAAGTTTGATCAGCCTGCTTGCCCCGTGAGGCCGCACGGCTGATGCCACAGTGGTAACTTTCCTTTGGGCCTTACGCATTACACGCTGGAATTCCAGCCCTGCCGCTGAGGTGGAAAGAGACAGGCCAGTTTAGACCTCAGGCCCTCACTTGGCTCACTTCTGTCCATGTGTCTTAGTGGCACGGGTCCTGTGGCCCAAATGGAAGCTGTAAAGAATCCAGGATCCAAGCTGGCCAAAATCATCCTGCCACTGGCGGCTTTCCTTCCGCTCTGTGTGGAAAGGAACCGGGGCCCAATGCCATCACTGCTGGCCCACATACTTTCCACCGCCCTGCAGGACTGGTGGAGCAGGGCCTGGCTTTGCACCCTAAAGCCAGTGGCAAGGAGACATGAATCCCTGGGCACCCAAATAATAGTCCTGTTCATCCTCGTGGTTCCTTGGTATCATGGCTGGACAGGGGCTTGGGCACTCAGGTCGCCAGGTCCCTCCCTGCTAGCACCCCTGCCCAACCCCACCTCTCCCTCCCTGGCCCAGCTCAGAGATCTTCTCACCTGTACTCCTGCCTCTAGGTGGTCCTGGGGAGATAATTGGTGTCAACCAATTTCTCATGTGGGAAATGGGGATGACAATAGCCATAAAGCACCTCGTCCTATTGACTGAAGACTAAGTGAGAGAAAGTACGTAAAGCCTTACTGCTGGGCTCACAGACAGTAGCTGTTATTAATACATTGCAGTTCATCAGATCGGAATATAGATTTGGAGCTGGGCACACTGAAGGGGCTGGAGGGGAGGTGGAATCAGTCATGATGGACTGTGGGCACCTCCCTGAGTGATTTGGGCATTACTACATAGGCAAAGAGTGGGAAGTCAAGGGACAAGATTAGAAAGAACTTTCTGGTGGCTGGCCCTATGACAGATGGATGGAGGAGGGAGATGGAGGCAGGAACTCAGTTAGGGAGGCTTGCCCGAGCTGGCGGTGTCCCCAAAGGGCAGGGGCAGAAGCAGAAAGGAGGGGCTGGAAGGGGGAGATTCAGGAAGGAGCTTCCATAGCGTTTGAGGGCAGAGTGGGCAAGCCCCGGAAAAGCACAAACTCCAGGGTCACCCCCATTCCTCTCGCCCAGCTTAGCCTCTCAAGACCCCCTGTCCTACCAAATCCCTGGGGCTTGAGTGGAGGCATTGGGCAGGGACATTGCCACTCAGTGTTGGGGTGTGGGGAGGACAGCCCTCACTGCAGTGAGGCGGGAGCCTGCCCCCCACCCAGCCTCTTCCAGCTCCTCCTGTCCAGGTCCTGCTTCTCTCACTCACTGCTGCAGAAAGATGAGTGGGGCTTGGAGTGAGGAGGAGGCTTTCCGAGGGCCTCAAGGCATTCAGAATCTTTCCCTTCCTTGCCACAGATGTGTGTCTCCCTACCTCCTGGTCCCCTGGATGCCCCTCCCTGCTAAGCAAACTGTGTTCCTGCACACAACTCCTCCCCTTCTCGCCTGGGATTTTCTCACTCGGGAATGTGGACTCTGGGGCCTGAGGTGGTGTGCAAGATGGCACCACTAGCCTGAGGACAGCTGAGGCTCATCTACCTGAAAGATCAGCGGAGAGACATACATACACATGCACACACTCTCTCTCTCTCATGCACATACACATTTGCGAGTGAACTGCAAAATCCAAATTATTTTTAATATAGAACATGAAAATTCAAAGAACACGTTCTCTCTTCTGCTCTAACTTCGGGACCCCTGCAAGAGGAGGTTGTTGCCCTCTGCTCTCCAGGTTTTTTTGTAGGACAAGGGAGAAGCTGCCGGGACCCTCCAAGTCTTTTGACCCCTGCTCCTTCTCCTCCAGTCCCTGCAGTCATACTTCCTCCCTTAATAATGCTTATTTAAGTGTGGCTTTATGCTGTGTGCTCATGGGGAGCACCCGTCGCTCCCTGCAGGGCCTGGGGGTAGAGGCAGGCTAGCCGAGTGCCCTCCTGTGGTCACCTCTCCATGGCCAGACCTGGAAAGTAACCTGTGTTCTTCGGTGCCTCCTCCTTCCCAGAACCTGAACATCCAGGTGGAGGACATCCGGATCCGAGCCATCCTCTCCGCCTACCGCAGGCGCACCCCCGTGATGGAGGGCTACGTGGAGGTGAAGGACGGCAAGGTCTGGAAGCAGATCTGTGACAAGCACTGGACTGCCAAGAATTCCCACGTCGTCTGCGGCATGTTTGGCTTCCCTGGGGAGAGGACGTATAACACCAAAGTGTACAAGTAAGAGGCCCACACGAAGTGTGGCTTCCTGGGCGGTCACCCACCTTGTGAAGAGTAAGCTTTTGTGGTGGCGCTGGGCAGAGGGCCTCCGCCAGCCTGCTGTCATGGGCAAGCCTTACCTCTCAGACACTGACCACCTGTGGGAGACAGACCCCTCATGAATGACAAAGGCAGAGTGAGGGGAGGATATGACAGAGGTGCAGTGTAGGCAAAATCCATGTCTCGGTGCTGATAGCCAGCTCAGTGACCATGAGGCTGAACTCTGACAATACCCAGGCCGGGCGGGGTAAGGACAACACCAATTTAAGAAGAAAAGTTTACTTGCCCTCAGTAAATAATTAATCTGAGAAATCTGGAACTTTCAGCAACTGTTAGGAAGTTGAGAAACTGATCAATTCGGTCAGTTATACCAATGCCAATGAAATCTTAGTGCTGTTCTGGTTTCCATGGTTAATATCTCCCCAGGGGGAAGGGAGTACGTAATAATGGGATTTAGAGTAATTTGCCCCGAAGGGCTTCCAGTGAAGGGGTTTCACCCTGTGATAAACTGGTGGCCCGTAGTATATTGGTTGGTAGTGGGGCCTTCCTATCTCCTCTCAGTAATGATAATAATAACCTGTTTACAGAATGCCTACCATGTGCCAGGCTCTGTTCTTAATCACTTAATCCTCACAACACTAAGAAGTAGGATTTGATTTTAGAGCTGAGGAAACCAAGTCAGAGAGGGAGGTGGCAGATTTAGAATCCAAACACAGGCCTCCAGCTATGGGATCCTCACTGCTACACAGTGTAGATTCACAACTCTTTCCTTTTGTTACTGATGTTGGGGTTCTTGGGTTCCCCAACATAGAAATTGAGAGGAAACCCCAGAAATATTCCCAGGCAGATTTTATTAAGTTTATGCTCAAACACAAAGGAGACAGCACAGAGGAAAGGAAGGTCCTCCCAACTGACTCGGGAGCCGGATGTGCTTTAATAAGCTGGGGACAAAGTCTTGCGGAAAGGGGGGGTTTTTGAAAACGGAAGGCTTTTTGAAAGTGGTGGGCTTTCTCTACCTGATATGCTGCCTGGTAACCACGTTCACACCTGCGCTGTTGGGCAAGATGGCGGGCTGCTCATTATCGCCACCTGGGGAAGGTCGTATAGCGGACAAGCCTTGATCAACCGCACATGCAGAATAGTGGTGTTGACATCTGTATGGAAGTAAACAGTTAGAAGGCAGATGAAATCAGCAACTTCTGCATTTTTGCGTAGGGAGTGATAGGGTGGTGGCATTTCTTCGGCCCCAGGCCCAAGTCTCTATGTTGTCTCACTTTTAAGCCAGAGGAAGTCAGGAGACCTGGGATCCAGCCCCAGCTGTCCCTCCAGATCCTTGGGGCTAGAGCAGCCTGCAGGCCCCTGGGCTTGGCCTGGCCGCCTTGGGTTAGAGCCCCGAGTCCATCATTAGGCTGAGTGCTCATGGGTGTGCGGCTCAGCTGGGAGGGCTCACTGCCCCCGCCCCCAACCTTGGGGCCGATCCTGAATCCCACCCCAGCCACCTGGACCTTCCTATATGCACTGGGGGTCCTGGTCCTCTGCATACTTTGGAGAAGTTCTACCAGCTCGCCAGCTCCTTCCCTGGGGACACGTTCTCAGTTTTTTCTACCAATTGGAGCCAAGAAAAGCAAACCGCCCCACCCGTGACAGGTTCCCACCTGGCTTCCCCACAGTACCCCAGCCTGGCAGCTGGCCTGAGTCCAGTTCTGGGCCTGGGAAGGCTGCCATCAGCCCTGCCCAGGATAGAATGGGGTGCCCGAGGCCAGGCAGTATGTGCTTGTTCAGAAGGCATCTGAAAACCTATTCAAAGTCCTCATCCTGATTTTGAGGAGGGATCGCAGATCTATTTTGGCCACAGGGCCCCAGGCAATCTGCTCAGGTGCTGGGTTTGAAACCAGCCTCCCTGCTCTTCCCACCCCCTAAGTGTGTAGCTTTGTTTTTCCAAATGGGGGCAGGAAAGGGCTTCAAAGGCTGGGGCATCCACAAGGCTGGGTGGTGTTCTCCACCAAGGCCACTGGAAACCAGCTACCCCTCCCAGCGTCTAGCTGGAGATGAACTGGAGGGGCAAGAAGGCGGGCAAAACTTTCTCAGCTTGTCTGTACCATTTAGTGTTCATCTCTGGGGCTCACAGTTGGGCGCCAAAAGAGACAGGTATGCTGGGAAAGGTTTTCTGTGCCTTGGTGGTGCTGTTAGGGGCTGAGATGGCAGCTGGGTGGAGGAAGTTGTTAGCAGAGAGAGAGGACTCCCAGGGCGGGTTGGCCTCAGAGGCCGCCCGGTCCAAGCCCTCAGTCTGCATGAGGGAAAACTCAGGCCTGAAGGGCGGTTGACTTGGAGGTCACAGAGCCTACTCCTGCCAGAGCCTGAGGGCTACTCTAGGGAGAACTCTCCACACTGCTGCCTCCACCTTCAGACCTGCTCCACCATGGCCACTCAACCCAGACCACCACCACGAGGCTTGCTGTTAGTCTGAGACCTGGGGCAGGGCCGGCCTGGGGATGGGGTGTCTGTGAGCCCTGCTCAGAAGTAGATTACAGCAGCAGCCAGGGATCTAGAAAGGTCACATCCAGCATGGTCCCTGAATCCCTGGCTTCCAGTAACATCTTTTCCCATCTTCCTTTTACTCTTCCCACAGCCTGTCCCTGTGGTTGCTGACATCACCCCCCACCCCCTCTGAGGCAGGGGAACTGGCCTCCAAGGGAAGCCCTTCTCTGTCTGGAGAAAATTGTTTTCAAAATAAGTCTCCCTCTGGGATGGGGTTAGTAATGTCCATGCATCCCCCATACCCCTTAAGGGGCTTTACAACCTTGGAAATTCTTCCACCGTGGCTCCCTCTGTTAACCTGCAGGTCTGGTGGCCACTCAGAGGCCTTGGAGTGACCCCTAAAGCTGGGACCTCAGCTCTTCCTCAGAGCCTCTGCTAGCCAACCCCTCCCCCAGATTGGAAGAGTCCAGGATGTCACTTGCATGTCCCCAGAGGCCTCTGTGCCCATAAGCCTGCCTGCGTGGAGCCTGGGGCTCCTGAGTGTGGGCTGCTTTGCCATAAGCTCACTTCTACACTGGGCTGGGGAGCTGGGTATATACCTTGAAGCCAGTGAAGCTGAAAGCCTCAGGGCCCATCCCTGGGGCAGAAGCATTTCATATTGTAGCCTTTTCAATTTTTTTCCCTTAAAACAGGATCCCGCTATTGATAATTGATTTATTGACACGAGCTCACTAAGCAGGGATACTTCATCTAGTGTTGCATCTTGAAAGTTTGGAAGGGCTCTGGTTGGTTGGTTGGCTGAAACATGGACCAAAAAGCCCATGAGTAAAATGGAAAAGCCATCCTCCTTTGGTTTCATGTAGAGAAAAGGATTCAAAGGCTTAGAGCAGGGGTCAGCGAACTGCGGCTCACAAGTCACATGCAGCTCTTTGGGTACGTTCTGTCCCAAAAGTTTGCTGACCCCTGGAAGAGCCAATCCTGTCCCTCGAAGTTTGGCGAGACCTATAAAACAAATGAAATCACCATTATGTGAATAATATCCTTTAAAATTTTTATAAATGAAACTATGAGAGTTTTATTTTCATTTTCAATTTTACTTCAGAGCCACATGTACGCACCCAAAGAGCCGCCGTGTGGCTCCCGAGCCGCAGTTTGCTGACCCCTGGCTTAGAGAGCTTGGAAGGTTAGAATGGATTTGTCATTTGAGACCTACTCACCCACCCTGAGAGGGTGTAAAGGACACACCTTTCACCACAACAGAGGAATAACTGTCAGGAAGGTCTCAGAACCCTTGATGACTATGATCACTCTTCTCTGTAGGCCAGACCTCACAGTGGGACTGCAGTCACCGAATTAGGAAGCCTAAATCAATTACCCAAATGATCCTGAGGTGGCAGCAGCCAAGTGGCAGCCATTAACCACCGAAGGCGAGGTGGGCGTGGTTATGGAATGGCAAGCACAGTCAAAGCAGCCATCAGATTAGTCGAACCTGTGCAGAACTACTGCACTGACTAGTTGATCATGGTGTCCCTAGAAGTGCAATACAGTCATGCACCGCTTAATGATGGGGATACGTTCTGAGATATGTGCCATTAAGTGATTTCTTTGTTGTGTGAACCTCACAGAGTGCACTCACATGAACCTAGATGGTATAGCCTACTCCACACCTAGACTATGTGGTACACCACTGTTATATATGCAGCTCATCGTTGACTGAAAAGTCCTTCTGTGGCACATGACTATAGATAGGAAGCCAAATAATTCTTGTTCTGTAGAAGAAAAGTTGTAGGTCAAGTGAACAAAAGTCTAACCTGAATCATAAAAACAGAAAGTCACAGCCCTCAATCAATTCCCAGACTTGAGCCAGCTCTGGGTCTATAAAAGACCCAGAACCCAACAAATGAAGAGGAGGCCAGGTCCCCTTGAGGAAGAATCTTGGTTTACTGCCAAAATTTTATACTGTTCATCTTTCTTGAAGCCTTCCCCAAGGGGACACAGGACCTTTTACCAGGATAACTGTACATTGGGAAAGAGGAAATAATCAGAACTTTGGGGGACTACTGGACACTGGCTGTGAACTAACAACACTGATACAGGAGACCTAAATGTCACTGTGTCCCACCAGTCAGAGTAGCGGCTTATGGAAGTTAGGCAATCAGTGGAGTTTTAGCTCAGGTCCGTCTCGCAGTAGTAGTCCACTGGGTCCCAGGACCCATCCCGTGTAATTTTCCTACTTCCGGAATGACTAATTTGAACAGACATACTCAGCAGCTGGCAGGATCCCTGAAAAACCTGGCTTCCTTTTGGCTCTGGGAGAGCCAGCACAACTTTTTATTTTTAGTTGAATCAGTCCAGCTCAGTGTTCTTTCTGCTACCCAGCCATAGGCCTGGGCACCTCTGTCTCAAGCAGGCTTCCCACTCGGCCAATGGCTGTCCTGTAATTTCAGTCCCTCTCCAATTACCAAGGTCTAGCGTGGACTGTTCACCCATCCTCCCCGGAGCTCGTAGCTGCACCCCCTGAGGTCTGTCCAGCATGAATCATGGGGAAGAGGTGGGTGTTGGATGGTGGGAGCCTGTGGAGAGTCAGGACACATTCCTAAGAGCTGATGTAAGAGAGGGGAGGGCCGCCTGGGAAGGCATGAGTGTTCTGTGTTTGCTGTGAGTGCTTCGCTCTACATTAAGAGGTCAGTACATGTGTTCCTGGCAGAGGGTGTTCTCTGAAAGCTTAGAGCAAAGGGATTCTCCAAGCCAGTGAGAGCTGACCAATCCTTGTGCAGCTGATACCCCCACGTGGGTTCTCTCTCCTGGTGTGGGGTGTCATGGGGAACAAACTGGAGTTTGTGGTTCCAAGTGCAGGGGCCTCCAGAAAGTGGGGAGGGACAGTGGTTCTTGGAATTATCAACAGTCCTCCTGAGTAGCTCTCCGCTGTGGGACGCAGCTCTGGTGAGCACATATCCTAAATTTTCCAAGACTGTCCTTTTTTCAAGGATTCTGTGTCATTGTGTCCACAGGTGCATTAGAATTGCTTGGAGTCTCAGTCTTTGGTTAAGGACAGATATCAGTGGTGTCTGTAGGGTTTTTCCTTCCTCTCTGATCATACCCCATTCACTTCAAGACAAAGCAGAAACTTCCAGGTCTGCTGAACCAACAAAACGGGACCTTGCTTCTGCCCCTTCCAGGGCCAGACTGCCATGAGAGCCCCTCCAGTGGGCAGCTGGCAGTGATGCTGTTGGGCTTTGTCTGGCATCTCACTGGGTTCTGCCAAGCTGAGACAAGCACACAGACCAGACCCCAAAGAGCTGAGATAGCAAGAGAGGACAGGGTGTCCTCTCTGCCCTCCGCCCTCGTAAATCCCACCGTCATTCAAGACCCAGTTCAAAGCCTACTCTTTCCTGAAGTCCTCCCTCGTCACTGCAGCCACAGGAATTTCTCCCTTCTCTTATCTCTTCTTTTTTCCCCTTACCCAATACAGAATTTCTGTTACAAACACTTACATAGCCCTTCCTATGTGCTGGGCATGGTGGTAAGTGCTTTATGAGTATTAAGTCATTTAATGTTCCTAATTATCTTATCAAGTAGACCCTATTGTTACTTCTAACTTGGAGATGGGGAAACCGAAGCACAGTAAGCTTTCCGTTAGCCAAGTCCTGACTCCTTGGTTTGGTTATTTTAGAAAAACACTTTGACTAAACTTGATCCATATTTTGCCTTCCAAAAAAAAAAAAAAGGATAGGCGATATAGGCTAAGAGCTTTCCCAGGACGTGGCGTGGAGACAGCCTCAGCCTCACTGATTCCTGGGTGAAGATTTGATCAAGTCTGTGGCTGAGTTTCATCACCATTATTATTTCCATTGCCAAGAAATTATACTTTGATTCAGTAGACGAGGTCATTTTAGACTGTTCTCATTGGATTTACACCTTTAATCTTATATATCATTGGGAGAGAGTTTAACTATCAAGCTGTCATGCCCATTGACAAAGGGAAATAAAGGGAGGGAATGACAACAAATGTTGAAATTATCTGGAGAGTTCGGGTGGCCAACCACTGTGGTCAGGACTAAGGGGTTTCCTAGGACCAAGGGTCTCTCTCATCTCTTTTTGTATTTATGGGCTGTCGTATTATCTCCTAAAATGTAAGCTGCCTGGGGGCAGGAGGTCACGTCCCCTTTCCAGATCCTGCCCAGCACATGACCCAACATGAGCGGGGCACTCAGTGAGCGTTAGTGGGTACGCTGTGCGGACCCCCATCTGTGAAGCCCAACCAACCTCCAAGAACAGGAACCATGGCCGCCTGTTTCCTCCTCCAGATCCCCAGCATCCAGCACAGTGACTGGCCCAGGGCTGGTGCCCAATGTCTCGCTGTGGAAGGAATGAGGGTGGGTGCTATGAAATCCTGGTCACCTGCCCCCTCCCGCCCTCCGCAGAATGTTTGCCGCCCGGAAGAAGCAACGCTACTGGCGGTTCTCCATGGACTGCACGGGCACGGAAGCCCACATCTCCAGCTGCAAGCTGGGCCCACAGGTGTCGCGGGACCCCGTGAAGAATGTCACCTGCGAGAATGGGCTGCCAGCTGTGGTGAGTTGTGTGCCTGGCCAGGTCTTCAGCCCTGATGGACCCTCAAGATTCCGGAAAGCCTACAAGCCAGAGGTGAGCATGGGACAGGAGCCTGGACACTTGGCACCTAGGGTGGGGTGGTGGCAGTTAAGGGAGCAGATGGGACAGTGAGGAGAGCCAGTCCCAAATCCAACCACTTTTCTAGGGGGCAGGAAGGTGGAGAACACCTGTCAGGGCCAGCCTCACCGGTAGGTGCCACCTCTAGGGTGTGACAAGCAGCTAGGCCCCCGCCCCAAATCTTGAACACCCCCACCTGCCCTTCCACCACTGCTGCTTCAGTCTGAGACCAGAGCCCCCTCTGTGGAGGACATTCACTGTCTGCTGGCATGAAATGGGGGTGCACCTTGTGCTTCTGCACAATTCCCAGAGGACAAAAGCGCTCTGCAGCTTTTGGAAACACAATACAACCCTCAAAAGCACATGAACTCAGCTACCACGATTTTCAAGCATGTTTTGGTTTATTCTTCAGCAGAAAAGATAAAAATTTTAAAAAGCGTTCACAAAGATAGAAAAAGAAAACCTGCCATCACCATGCCTGTGTCACCTGTACGCATTAGTCACATTACACGTATGTGCTCCAGCACCCGTGAGCATGTACGTGTGTGAGCATAGGCAGGAGACGCAGTGCACATCGGTTCACGTACATGAACACCCCCATTTCAAAAGACGGACTTCTTAGGACAAGTGAACTATCCCAACCGTGGCAGGCTTGGTGCAGCCTCCGAAGAAGTTAAAGGACAGCCTTGAACACCATGACAAGGCTTCCCTTTTTCCCACCCTGCTTTTTTCATATATCCACCAAAGGGCCTCTGGGATATGCATGTTCTGGAGACTGCTAACATGGGGCCGGAGGGTGGGAAGAGCACATGGAAGAGGGGCAGGGAGGGGAGGAAAACACGTTGATCAGTTCCTAGGGAATGATTCCCTGTGGCAGATAAAACCTCGGAACTTAGTAATTAGTCAGCTGGGCAGGGAGGAGTTCCAAGCCAGCTCTGACCGTGGCAGGGGCAACAGGAGGGGAAAGGTCATGATGGGGGCAGATGGTGTGTCCAGGAAGTGGGCGGGAGGAAGGAGCAGCCCCTCCCCAAACCTGGGGGGATTTGTTGGCCAGGCAGCATCACTGTGTCTCCTTTCCCCTCTCCCTGCCTGCCCTCTCCAGTCACCCCTCCCCACCAACATCAGTGACCTGCTTTTGGAAAGGGGGGGAACAATACTCATCTATCTGGAAAGGGAAACAAGCCAGATAAACCACATTGGGGGCCTTTCCCAGGCGAGGGGTGGTGTATTTGGACAAAAGAAAAGCCGTAAATGAAAGGAGTGAAATGAATGCTGCAGCCCGGCCATCAACCACAGGGTGTGGGAACTATCTGGAGTGACTTCCTGGCACTTCCAGCAGGCAGCTGGCCCTGTCCCCTCAGTCCCCACAGGGGCCTCCGAAGTGCATAGACCTGACCACATATCACATGTGTGCAGCCTGGTGACACAGGCACACCTGGACAGTGGCAGAGCCCCCCTCTGCCCCACCATATCATCACTTGGTTCCCTGCCATGTGATTTAATGGTCCCATCCTTTCTATGGCCTCAGCCTGAGCCTGTGAACTTTCTTCATGTGTCACCCAGAATACCAGGCCCTACTGTTTGGAAATTCCTCTTACTGTGTGGTTTAAAGCAAGGGAATCAAGTTCATACCAAACCAATTTGAAAAAAAAAAAAAAAGAGCAAGAGAGCCTTACATCATATTTTCCCTTGGTTTCTTTCTTTCCTGCAGGGCCAAGTGACTCTGCCTGGCCACTACAGGCTGCAGCGGGGTTATTGGTACCTTGCCTCCATTAAGCTTGGGTCACGGATGGTCTGCTCCATGGGAAGGGGGCCCTGGCATCCAGCTAGACAGCTTGGGAAGGGAGGTGGGATAAGGGAGGGGTCACAGTCTCCAGCAAACAGGGGCTGGAGCCAGCAGTTTTACTAGTTTTGTTTTCTTAAGCTAGAATCAAGGTCCCTGAAGCCAATGGGTGATTTGTACCCACCCCAGGCCCTTTTCTTCCCCTGCTAGTGCCAGAGTCAGAGCAGTCCCTGAGGTCTGTAAACCTGGGTACTGTCACAGCACCTCACCCTGGCCACAGCAACCACGAGGCACAGTTGGTGGGGAGACAGATGTGGCCAAGTAGGAACCTCACTGGAGGATGGAGACACAGGGTCTCATTTGATCCCTTGCCCCTCAAAGTGGCAGGTATATGTGAATGTCTGAAAAACACCACCTCCAACCAGGCCTGCTTTGGCCTGACCATGGTAGGGTGGGCGGTGAAGGGAGGCCCAGGCCGAGGACTGCACAGGCCAGATTAGAACAATGACTGGTGTGAGCCAACACATGTCAAGCAGCTGCAGAGTCACACCTTAACTCCCTCTGTGTTGAATCAAATGAGTGTCAGCAGTAACTCAGAGCCTTGAAGCCTTCTGAGTCCCCCACCCCAACCAACACACACATGCACAGGTGCACACACATTCACATACCATGCATGCATGCACATTCACATACCATACATGCATGCACAGAGACTGATGCAAACCAGGTTATGTGGGCAGGTGGAGTCAAGTGACATGTAAAATGTAATCCAATGGGGTCAAGATGCTGGTGGCGAGTGGATCTTACTCCTGTGCAGTTAAATAGACCCCATGTTAATGCTTCCAGGCTGTCAGTGAGCAATTGGGGTATTTAAACTGTAGCTGCCTGTCCTGTCTGCGTATGCTGGTGGGGCTGCATCTTCTGAAGATGGGGCCGATTTGGACTTGGAGTGGAGTCAGGGCTTGCAGGAGCAGAGTGGTGGCCAGGCAGGAGCCCAGCCCCAGGACAGATGTTGGCCTCAGCCAGTGTGAGGCGCCCACCCCCTATGCCCTTGCAGCATTCGTTCTCTAAGTCAGAGCCTTCCCTGTGAGCCCCATTCTCCTGCCTCTCACTGGCAAGCAGAGCTGGATCCTTGCAGTGCAGTTTGTTTAGTGCCCTGAAGTCTCCTGCAGACTAGTGTATAGCACTCTGTTATCAGCCAGTTAGAATGACAGTCCATCTGGAATCTGCAGACTTGGGGTGGGAAGATCAGAGCTTTTTACTGTAGCTCTAAAGCTTGAGGTTCTGGGTGAGGAGTAGAGGGAAGTGCTGGTGGTAAGGTCCTTGAGCCAGGCCTGGGTTGGGGTGACAAGCTAGTGAGGGTGTCAGTGGGCTTCCCAGTTGTCCAGGACTAAAGCTCTGTGAGAGTGTGCCAAGGGAGCTTGCAGCAGAGTTGACCATGCAGAGTGAGTGCCCCCCACACACACCTCACACACACATACACATCTAGTATAGTTTCAGCTCCTGGCCTGGGTGCCTAGGCTTGGAGTGGGGGTGGTTGGGAGGGAAGGGAGTGGACAATGCCCGCTGAACGTGCATCAGCTTTTGCACTCAGCAGGACCTTGTGTTTCTTCAGCAACCCCTGGTGCGGTTAAGAGGTGGTGCCAACGTCGGAGAGGGTCGCGTGGAAGTGCTCAAGAACGGAGAATGGGGTACCATCTGCGACGACAAGTGGGACCTGTTGTCTGCCAGCGTGGTCTGCAGAGAGCTGGGCTTTGGGAGTGCCAAAGAGGCCATCACGGGCTCCCAGCTGGGGCAAGGTGAGGAATGGGTTAGGGTTAGGGTTGAGGTTGGGGAGCCCAGCCCAGTTGGCTGGCCTACTGCTACCCAGCCTGTTCTTGCTTCTCCGGCCTCCAGCCGCTGCTGCTCTTAGAGAACCCCAGGCCTCGCTCCGGTCAGTCAGAGTTGGAAGGGTCTTAGGGAACAGAGTCCCCTCACAAGGATTTACAGGCTAAGGCCCAGAGAAAGGACAAAGTGACCAAGATGAGACTACATATGAGCAGCCAATGACTGTTTTAACAGAGGTCTCCCAACCCCTAACCCAAGGCTCCTACTGCCCCGCTGAGAAACTGGGAATCTCAGGACCCTCCTTGAGGAGAGGACCTCAGGATTCATCAGGCTGTGGACCACCCTGGGCACAAAGCAATCCCAAATATCCTCTGACTTTTCCACTCTAGCACAGCCCCCAAAACATTCTCTCCATGCCACGGGAGATTGAGAACATTATGCCCCTCTCTCGATGTCATGAGACACTAAGGAGAAGGGGCCTGGTTTTTATTAAGCGTCCTGAAAAAAATCTTCCATTTGAGCAAAGAACAAACTATAGGAGGCTTTCAAGCAGGTCAGTCTGTTGAGAGCAATGTTGTGAATGTGACATGACAAGACAACAGATAGTGTCCTCTCCTGCTGAGCCCGTGAAGACCACTGACCCGTGCAAGCCCTGGTTCTTCAGAAGGAGGACCTTGTCCCAGACTCAGCAACACAGTGAGTGCCCAGCCCGCTCCTGGAGAACTGTGGACTGAGCAAGGGAGATCAGTCATCTATCTCCTGGAATCTTTTCAGTGTTGACCAGCAGGGAGGCCGCAGTGGACTGGAGGCTGCCATGGCTGGGAGGGATTGTGGTGGAGGGAGAGTGGGCTGCGGACGAGGGGCGGGGTGTCCTGTCGTGTGAAGACAAGATGTTTCCATGCTTTCAGACCTAGAGCCATTGCCCACAGAAAGGAATGTGGTGAGGTCACAGGTCACATCCCAGAGGAAATAATAGCCCAGTGGACGGGAGAGAAAGTCCTGGAATCCAACGGCACTGCTAGAGGGGAGCTTAGGTCATCTAGTCCAAAGATAAGGAATTTGAGGCTCAGTAGAACATGCCTGAGGTCACCCCAATAGTTAGTGGTAGAGAAAGACTGAAACCCCAGTCTTCTGACTCTCACCTTTGGGCTTCTCCCTTAACACCCCCCTTGACCCAGTCTTACTTACGATTCAGGATACCTTTCTACCTCCACTCTCCAGTTCCTGCAAGCCTCCTGGGTGTGCGCCAAAGTTTGGGGTCTAGGGTGGACTTTAACATAGCAGCATGCCACCCGGCAGCCTGTTAGACCCCATGACAGTCCTCCTCCTCCCATGTCATAGGTCTCATAGATTCCTACAGTCTGTTTTCCTGATTGGCTGATGTGATGGTTTGTACTCCCCCAAGGCCGACAGGAAAGAGACCACTCATTCTGAGGAATAAACAAGCACTGGATGACATAAACATTCCATGTCTCCTGGGTATGTGTTATTTGACCTAATTATTTCATTGCCCAGAGCAGCCAAAGTTTTCTGAGTTTTCCAAGCCTGCAGAACTCTGGCCAAAAGAGACGTTGGGCATTTTCAATGCTCTCCTTGAAAGAACCATTGGACAATTTATTATCTGCTGCCATGCTGAGCAGGGTCAACACCAGTGGGCAGAAAGGGAAAAGTCCACATTCAATGTCAAGTCACAGAGCAGATGATTCAGTCCCCTAGTCCGGGGTCTGGCTGGTGAACCAAGTGACCACACCCATATCAAGGGCAATGAAAGGGCAAGGACTGAGAGCTGGGCCATCTGAGTCCCAGTCCTGGTCCTGCCACCTATATGCACGGTGACCTTGAGCGACCTTCTGGGCCTCAGAGTCTTCACTGGATTTATGATGTCTGAGATTCTGTCAGGATCCAGCCTCCTGTGATTCTCTGAAACTTGTTCTTTTCACCAGGATGGATGTCAGGTCAGAGTCAGGCCCTGTGCTTTGTGCTGTGGAACCCCTTGCATACATCTGAACTCCAGCTGTCTGTTTACACATCCACCAATCCCCATGACTGAGCACTGTGTGAGGGGAGGGCCCGCGTTTTTACTGCTGAGTCTATGCCCAGTTCATAGTGCTCTGGGGATATTCATTTTATGAATGAATGAATGAGTGAATGAATGAGTTCCAGTTGGCTTAGCTGAATGAACACTTGGTAAAGAAATTTCAACACTCTAGACCTGCACGATCCAACTGAAATATCATGGAAGCTACATACATAATTTAAAAATTTTTAGTAACCAGAGAGAGAGAGAGAGAGAGGAAAAGAAAGAAAAGGAACAGAGAAACAGGTGTAATTAATTTTAATAATATATTTTCTTTACTTGGTACATCCAAACATTATGATTTCAACACTGACATTTTGTGCACTAACTCTGAAATCCAGGAGGTGTTTTACACTTACAGTACATCTCAGTCTGTACTGGCCACACCCATGTGCTCAGTGTGGCCAGCAGCTACTGTATTGGACAGGGCAGCTCTAGAGCAGTGGCCTTAAAACCCTTTTGCCTGCAATCTCCGATCAGAAATACACACGACAGTACATGCCACGCATGCAGAGCTGAAACAAAACTTCGTGAGACAACGCTAACCTTACAACATGCAGAACACTGTGTTATGTTTTATTCTATTCTACTGGGCTCTTAAAAACCAGATTGTAACCTGCACAGTTGATTGTGGGTCCAGAGTCCATAACATTGCCCCAAGAGGTTGAGTGTGGCTTTTCCCCAGCACCCTGCTCCTGACCCAGGCCTGTGGTCACCCGGATCAGGGTTTGTACATGGGGAAAGACCAGGGCCAAGGGAGAGGTGGGGAAGCTATCATGAGGAAGAGCAATTCAGGGGACCGTCCAGAACCCAGGAGAAGGGAAAAGCTGTGGGTCAGGATGCAAGTCAAACCCAGGTCAACAAAAGAAGCCAGGAGCCTGCAGACCTCCCTGGGCATGCTGTAGCTGGACACCCAAGCCATGGTCCTTCAGTGGCAACTCCTGCCCTACTTGACCCACCGCACAACTGGGCAGTGCAGGAAAGGGGAGGAGAAACACTGATTTTCCCATCTCTGTGCTCTGCCCGGGTACACCATGAGTGTGCATGCTTCAGGAAAGCGGGCCCTGCCCGCTAGGGCCTCATCCCCTAATGTCTGAAATTGCCACGTAAGTTTACCTAAGTTAGGCCAGAAAGAGGCTCACCAATTGTTGGAGTCCAAAGCATACTAAGCTCTTGTGTTAACCTTTTCTCTTCTGCCCAGTCCCATAGTCTAGCAATCCACAAACACTCAGTGAGTAATGTTTGGGCTAGATGGTGGAATTCATTTATTCCACAATCATTGATAGTAATGGTCTCTCCAGGAGCTCACCTCTAGTGGAGGAAATAAGATATAACTCCTATCAAAAGTAACTTACGCTAACAAATAGGTGATGATATATAAGACACAATGCTGATAATAATACCTGCAATTTACCGAGTCACTAGTGACCTGACATACTTTGTCTCATTCATTTCTCATAATCCCAACCCAGCAAGATAGATATGATTGCCTTTTACAGATGAGGAAAGTGGAGCTCAGAAAGGTTCCGTCACTTCCCAAGGAGACAGACGGAATCCAGTATCAGGCTGGCTGCCCAGCTCATCGTCTCCTGAGCGAGAGGTGTAAAAGGAAACTCTACAGACGTGTAGACAAGTGTGAGGTCATTTCAAGCCGAGTCACAGAGGAGAAGGGGTTGGAGGTGTTCCTTGAAGGCAGGCTTCTACTGAGATTGGCAAAAAGGAGGTGTTCCAGGAGGCGGGGGGCAGAGCAAGGAGCCCTGGGTTCAGGAGGACATAGCGCTTCTGAATGCTCAGCTCTGTCCCAGAGCAATTGGGTTGTTGGAAAAGTCATGACGCATTTTTGCAACAAAAAACAGAAAAAAAACATCATAACTTTTTCAACAGCATATTTTCCAACATAGGGTTTTCTCTCCTGGCTCTCCTGAATGAGCTTTAAAAACTTAGCAAGGTGTTTTCTGGGGTCACACTGCTTAGTCTGAATCCTGGTTCTTCCATTGGACCAGTTACTTAATCTTTGTTCTCCAGTTTCTTCATTTTATTTGGCTCTTGTGATGATTAAATATGTTAATATAAGCAATGTGTTTAGGACAGAATCCAGCACAGAGTGAGTGCTCAATAAATATGAGATATCATCATCACCACTGCTACCACCGCCACCATCAACATCATCATCACCACGATTATTATCACCATCACCACCACCACCATCATCATCCTCCTCCTCACAACAATCAAACAAGTCCCTGATCTAACTGGAAACTCAACTCCAAGGTTGCGGCCCATTTCTGTGTTCATCTTAACCCTGAGCTGTGGCCCTTGTTTGTTTCAAGAGCCATGTTTAGGATCTGTATTTTGTCACAGCCTTTCTACTCTGTGTCCTTAGGTGCTTTTGGCCATAGTCACTGAGAGGTTTTATAAAATTAGTCACTGACAAGTTTTATAAAATTCCAAAGAATTGGAAACTTCATCATTTATGCATTTCCAAGGAAATGGAACTTGGCTCTTACCTACTAACATGGGTTGCTCCCAGAAGTTCCTTTTTTGTCAGTGAGCCTAGGTGCTGGGTGTCTCCAGAACTCCCTGACAGAGCCAAGGTTCCCTCCTCTGAATTCAAAGCATAGGTCGTCACCTCCGTATTTTACCACATTATATTACAAGTCTTTGCATAAATGTCTGCCTCCCCCATGAACTAACTGAGCTCTTCACAGCGGGGGCCTGGCTTCCTCATCTGTGAATCCCCAGTACTTAGCACAGAGGCCACCACATAGCAGATGCTCAGTGAAGTCAACAACATTCATTCAGATGCTATTTGCAGCACTTCCTATTTGCCAGACACTGATTGGGAATACAAAAGGAGCACAGACATGGCACTTATCCTCATCTGGTGCCTCCCACCTACTGGGGAGGCAGACAGACATTTGAACAGAGTGAACATGAAGCAGAGTACTCAGTGGGAGGCTCCCTGAGGGAACCCAGCTTAGATGGAGTCAGAAAGGCTTCTCCAAGGAAATGGTGTCAAAGCCAAGCCCTGAAGGACAAGCAGGAGTCAGCTGGTGAGGGCCGGAAGGAAGACAGTCCAGGCAGAGGGTCCATGCAGAGGGAACTGCTGGGATCAACGGAACAGCCAGAGGAGACAGGCTGAAGGTGAGGGGTAGTCAGAGCCGGATGCTAAGTGGAGGCCATATCCCATGGGCCCTGGTAGGAGACATGATTCAATATTCATTAAAAAGTCTCTTGTGCTGCCGTGTGGAAAATATTTTGGAATAAGCAAACAGGAGAGAGACTAGAGGCCATTGCATTCGTCCAAGTGTGACATGACAGGGTTGGACTAGTGTCATGGCAAAAATGAAAACACAAAAACACTTGGCTTTAGGGGACTGAACAGAACATGGTGATGGATGGCTTGTTGGCGATAAAGGAGGAGGAGGTGGGTGGTGTGAGAGATGACCCCTGGGTGCTAGGGAGAACAACCTGGAGGATGGAGGGGCTGTTTCCTGGGACGGGAGGTCTGGTGGAGAAACAGATGGATGACCCTCCTGCTGGCTGTGGAAGTGGAGAGAACAAAACAGATGATGCTTCCAAGAAGCATCGTGAAGGGGAGAAGGCTGACAGGCCAGAGGGAGGTGTGGGCTCAGGGGAGGGTCACCGTAGAGATGGGAGGTTTTAGCCCATGTTTGAGTGAGGCGGGTCAGGACCTGAATGAGATGAGAACAGTGAGGACCAGGAGAGGGAGACGGCCTCAGGCAGGGCAGGGGCCAAGAGGGGAGTCAGTGCAGCCCAGAGCCCCTGCAGGGAACTGGATTTTGATCCATTGTGATGGGCTAGACAGAGAAGAGGTAGTTTTAAGAGCTGAGTTGAACTGAACGCTGGCCAGGCTAGGAATTCTTTCTCCCCAGCAGTGGGAGCCCCCCCTATAAGAGAAGTTTCGCTCGCCATAGGTCATTTGCTGGATTCTCCTCTAGCTCCACCCTCCACCTTTGCCCGTACTGTCAGATAATTCCCCGGGAGGGATGCTTGGGTGTGGCCAGCAGGAAGCACTGGTGGGAGACTGGAGGTGGGGAGAGGAAATAGGCCAGGTATGTCTTCTCCCTGCGAGGTCCTTGCAGGCCACTCTGTCCCTCGACCAAGGGTAACAGCTCTTATCAGGCGCTTTCTGCTCTCCTGGGTAATATATTGGCGCCCTCCCCTCACTCCTATAGGCTGGGGCTGGTATCTATCTGAGCCCAAGTGTTATTAGCCTCTGAGCACTGGAGTGTCCTTTGTGATTTTGTGATTTCCCTACACTATGTTCATTCCTTTATTTAAAAAATCCCTTTTTCTAACTTTCTTCAAAGCATCCACTTTGAGCATGCCATCTGTTTCCTGCAGGGTCCCTGACTATACAGTGATTGTCACCCCTTTCAGATTCATAAATGCTTGGAATATGAAAGTTGGGAAGGAAACCTAGATGTCTTCTAATCAAACTCTTTTATTTAAGTAAGAAAACCGTGATTCAGGGAGGCTGCGTTGGCCAAAGTCACATAACTTAATATAACCCTCGTTTACTCCTATGGGAGAAGTGGATCCCAAGACAAGAAGTGATTCTCTCCAGGGAGAAGAGGCTTGGTCATTGAGCTAATTATGGGAGGCAGTTGGGAAGAGTTTTGAGGATGAAAGAGGCGTGTTCTTATTTCAGGGACTTTCTTGCCAATTTCAGAAACTTTCCTTCAGATGCTTTCATAGCTCATGTTTATTTTCTTCCCCAGGGATAGGACCCATCCATCTCAATGAAATTGAGTGCTCCGGGAATGAGAAGTCCATCATAGACTGTAAATTCAATGCTGAGTCTCAGGGCTGCAATCATGAGGAAGATGCTGGTGTGAGATGTAATATCCCTGCCATGGGCTTCCAGAAGAAGGTGAGGTGACTGGATGCATAGAGGGGACTGTGTGATGTTTAGGTCATTGAGACTCCAGAAGGTATAGACCAAGTGGCCTCACTCTGAAGGTTTCTATCAGGTGCTATTAGGGTGCGCTGATAATGATCTCAGAAAAGTCTCAGGCTCTGCTTCTATCACTGTTGGCATTGTCACCTAGCATTTCTAAATGTACCAAATGAGAAAAGATATGTATAAGCACCACTGTCCTTAGTGGCATATGTTGGGCATCCACTGTGTGCCGCATCCTGCACTGGGACTGGACACATGGAATGATCAAAACTCAGTCCTTTCTGTAAGGAACTTAAGGTCTATAGCACCTCTGACACCCTTGGCACGAACCCATTCCAAGGATGCAGAGGAATCACATTGACAGCCGATCTGCAAATCCCACAGATGCAAGCACAATGCAGACAGAAGACTGGATTCTGGTAACCAGAGGGAAAGAGAAGGAAAACTTAACAGCATTACACCAGAGACACACCCACCCTTCCCTTGTGTTTCCTAGCTTGGGTGACCTTGCCCACAGGAGTAGCCAACAAGATGACTTCCTCTTTGCCAGGAGGTCTCTTCCATCTTACCAAAAGGCTCCGTAAATCCTACTTAATGCTCTTCACTATGCCATGAATGTGGTCAGGTCCATGCCTCATCTGGTACACGGCTGGCATGTTGGAAGATCTTCTTGAGTGCTTATTTTTAAAATGAGCAAACACGCATTCATCGGGGTGCAGGATGGTTCACCAGCCGGGTTCCTGCTCTGACAGCGGTTCTTGACCTTGGCACCAGTATACCAAAGGCACTACTGAACTGGTTAGCCACAACACATCTCGTGCAACTCACTGCCTAATGGGCCAAAAATGTGAACCCAACAGCATTCAGCCAAGCCGTGAATTTGCTTGTGGGTGAGCAGGAGGCCTGGGCCCCAATCCCACAGCTGCAGGAAGGCTGTCTGTCTGTAATTGCCCAGCGGCATTCCAAGATAGCCATAACAGAGCTATTAAAAGCTGACGTGCACTGAGTCACGCGTGCCGTGACCCCATTCACTTCAGACAGATTGGAGCTGGGTGGAGTGGGGTTTCAACCCAAAGGAAAGACCTAGGCCAAAGAAAGTGAAGTTTTCCAGAACCATTTTACGGTGGGAATTGCCGAGCCAGGTCATGTGCTCGGTGATGTCAACGGAGGCACCACGCCCAGCACAAACAGCCCTCACGTTTTCACGGGCCCTCCAAGCCCCAGAAGGCGACCCTAGCACTCAGTCATAGGGGGTGAGAGAGTTTTACACCTGGATTTGCTGCTGCTATCCCACGGGAGGAAAATGAGGAAAGTCACCTGTGAAAGAAATTCTTACGGGCTGCACCAGTTCTCGCCAGAGCAGTGGATCAGGCTTCCACATGACCTGGCTTGGGGTCCCCAAGGGTACTGGCAACAACACTGGGCAGAACAATTAGGACTCTGAGCTGTATCACTGTGTTAGCTTGCTGGGGCTGGCAGAACAAAATACCACACACTTGGGTGGCTTAAACAATAAAAATGTATTGTCTCGTAGTGGTGAAGTCTGCGAGTCCAGAATTCAGGTGGGTTTCTCCGGAGGCCTCTCTCCTTGGCTTGCAGATGGCCGCCTTCTCACTGTGTCCTCCCAGGGCCTTTCCTCTGTGTGCCTGCATCCCTGGTGTGTCTTCTCTCCTTGTAAGAACACTGGTCATATTGGATTACAGCCCCACCCCTATGACCTCATTTAACCTTAATTACTTCTTGAAAGGCCCTTTCTCCAAATACAGTCACATTGGGGGTTAGCGTGTGAATTCAGACTATGAATTTAGGCAGGGAACACAAGTTAATTTATAACAATCGCTCCCTAGCTGATCTCTTTGAGGCTTCAATGTGCTCCTCTCTGAAACTAAGGAGGCGAGAGAGATGATTCCTGGAAAAGTCAATTGAGTTTTCACTGAATGGCTAGTGAAAGCCACAGATTTGGAGCTGGTTTTGTCCATTTAGCCACAGCAAAGCCAGAGGCACTCAGGAAGACCAGCGTCAGCCTCCCAAAGGCCTGCGCTCTTGCCTGCTCTGAGCCTTTCTATCTCCTCTGAAGAGAGTTTTGTTTTCTGATGGGGCTCCTATCTAATAATGATCATTGCTATGATGGTGTCTAATATTTCTCTAGCACTTCCGGTGTGCTAGGCCCTGTCTAAGCACTTTTCATGAGCTATCTTATGTAATTCATCTACTCAGCAGCCCTGGGAGGTAGATAGAGTACCATGGCTGCCCTTGGCTTGTCTGTTACCTGGCTGACCTCATTGACCCTTGCAGCCCCTAAGTCCATAATAGGAAAGAAGACCTGTGCCCTAGGGGCTGTGCTGTTGCTGGGGATTAGTCAGCTGTTGTGCTGTTGCCAAGGACTGTTGACCAAACAGCTTAGTGCTGAGGATTCCTGGAGATGTCATGCCTTATCCCAAAGGAATGAATTGTTAGAAGCATAAAGGGTATCCTGGTACAGTAGTTGGATTAAGGTTTGCATTTTTAGAGCCCTTCCCAAACTCCAGATCTCCTTTCTTGAGCTCATATAAATTGGTCCATTCTTTCATCCCGTAAAACTGATCATTTACTTATTCATTTCAAAAATAGTTGTGGAGGACCGAACATTCGTGAGGTGCTGTCTTAGATACTGAGCACACGGAAAGCAGACAAATACTCTCTGCCCTTTGAAGCTTATATTCTAGCAGAGGAGACAGACAAACAAATTGTAAGTTAGCTTAATTATAATTGTCATAAATGCAAAGGAGATGTATAGGTGTTGTGTGCCAGTCTCAGACTATGGATAACCAATGTTGTGGTCAGACTGGCCCTTGTGGTTCTTATTATGATTGCAAGATGCCTGTCAGCAGTAAGCATCAGGAAACTTTGGAAAAATATTATTTACAGGACTTGGAAATTACACAGCCCACCTGGGGCCACACAGTGAGGCGGGGGGGGGGGGGGGGGGGGGGGGGGGGGGAGAGAGAGAGAGAGAGAGAGAGAGAGAGAGAAAGAGAGAGCAGGGCTGGGGTTCCGCTGGGGTCAGCAGTGGAGGCCTCGGGTTCCATGCCTCACTTTTTATTGCTACTCAGCAGTAAGACATAAGAGGGGGATTCAAAAGTGCAGAAAGAGAGAAAAACAAGTTGCCCAAATGGTCAGTTATCAAAATCAACCAAGATTTCTAAAGGAAACTCAGTGGGGGGAGGGGTTGGCACTTTATCTAGTCACATGGCTGGCAACGTATTTATTTCAGATAACCTTCTTTGAAGGGGATGCCCCGATAATCAAAGCTTAAGTCAGGTGCTTGCATTACACAAAGGAGAAAACCCAACTGTCGGGGCTTCCGGTACAAAAGGGAGTCGTAGAATGTGTAAGGGGGCGCTGATCCCAGTTGGAGGCGAACGTCAGTAGGTATGGAATCAGTAAGAGGAACAGGATCAGCCAGGAAAGAGCCTCTGTATGTAGTGGGCTTGTATGTGAAATGTGTGATTTACATGGTCAAGAAAGTTAGGTAGCCACGGAAACTGAAAGAAGACCCATGTGCCTGGAGGTCAGAGAACAGGATGAGAGGGACTTGTGACGAGGCGGCAGAGGAGAGCGGTGGAGCACCTGTTCTAAGCAGGGAAGTGACAGGATCAGGTGTTTTTTTTAAAGATGACTCTGGCTTCTGCGTAGAGAATGGGTCGGTGAAGGCAAGCGTAGAGGCCGTGAGAGGCGAGGAGGTCTGGCTCAGGCAAGAGGGTGGTGGTGCCTGGGTGAAAAGGGATGAAATTGGAAGGAAGCAGGTGGATTAGAGAGCGACTTGGGAGGGGGCAGCCGGTTAGCTCAGGTGGTTAGAGCGCAGTGCTCATAACACCATCGTTGCTGGTTAAATCCCCACATGGGCCAATGAGATGCGCCCTCCACAACTAGATTGAAACAACTACTTTACTTGGAGCTGATGGGTCCTGGAAACACACACTGTTCCCCAATCAAAGTTTAAAAAAAGAGAGCGACTTGGGAGATAAAATCCACCAAAATGTGTGTGTGTGTGTGTGTGTGTGTGTGTGTGTGTGTGTGGCGGGGCGGGGGAGGGGTGGTGAGAGAAAGGGTGATGTCAAGCATGGCTTCCAAGTTCCTGGTTTGTATAACAGAAACAATTCAGGAATCAGCAAGCTACAGCTTGCAGGCCAAACCCCTCCCTCTGTCTGTGTTTGTAAATACAGGCCAAACCCCTCCCTCTGCCTATGTTTGTAAATATGGTTGTATTGGAACACAGCCATGCCCAGTCATTTACATGTCATCCATGGCTGCTTGCACGCTACATGGCCGAGCTGAGTGCTTATGATAGAGCACACATCCCACAAAGCCTAGAATATTTACCGCCTGTCCCTTTGTAGAAAGCTTGCTGCCCTGGGATAGAATGTAGTAACTTTAGCTGAAATAGGGAATAAGGGGGAGATACAACACAGGGTTAGGTGGAGAAGGAAAAGCAGACAGGTTCAGATTAGGAGTTTTGGAGATACCTAGTGGAGCTGTCAAGTAGGCAGTCGGCGATATGGATCTCAGAAGAGAGTTCTGGGTGGAGAGGACAGGTGAGAGAGATGCAGTCAGGAGCTGGAACCAGACAGAGCAGAGGGTGTGGTGAGGAGAAAGGGGCCCAGGAAAGAATTTGGGGGAATTCTAACATTCTAACATTGGCATACGTATTCTTCCAAGCGTCTGATTCTGAGACTAGCCCCCTATCCCCACCCCTTCCCCACTGGTAGGCTCACGGGGAACAGCGGGGGACAGAGGCAGATTCTGCTGTTGTGCTCAGTGGGGATCAGTGGGCCGCCCCGCTACATAGGCTCCGAGGGCCCCAGGATGCCTGCTGCGGGACCTAATATGTAAGACCATGCTGGGTGTGGTGCTAGCACACAGTAGGGTCTCATTGATGCTGTTGAATTGATTATGTCCCAGACAGGACCCCCTGGCTTGAGGAAATGGGGACTGATGTCTAAACAGTGGGGCTGCTCCTCTCCGTCCCCTCCTGGTGACCATGCCTGCCTTTCTCTCAACAGCTGCGCCTGAACGGGGGCCGAAACCCCTACGAGGGCCGGGTGGAGGTGCTGGTGGAGAGGAATGGGTCCCTCGTCTGGGGGATGGTATGTGGTGAGAACTGGGGCATTGTGGAAGCCATGGTGGTCTGCCGGCAGCTGGGCCTCGGGTTTGCCAGCAACGCCTTCCAGGTGAGAACCCCGGGCCTCAGACCCCTCCATCTAGTCTGATCCTGCCCACCTCTAGTCAGACCCCACCTTCCATGGACCTTCCAGGGCTACCCAGGAGGAGGAGAGCAAAGTGTTGTGGGCCAGGAGGGAGGGCCCTCGCCCTGGCCTCAGTTCTGCCCCTCCCAACTCTGAGTCCTCAGGCGGGCCGCGCCCCCACCTCCCACCTCTGTTTCCCCACTGCAGAATGAGGGCCTAGACTCTGGTTTCCCAGTCCACTCAGCTTTGTGCACTGGGGTTCCCCCTAGGCCGAGGGCTGATCCTGGGGTGTCCTGATGTGCCTTTTGTCGGGGGAAGCAACTCAGTCTTACAGGGTAGTGGAAACCACCAAGGCTGAGGCCCGACACTCCATACACCTTAGCTTGCTCCCTCGGAGGCCCCCCTGGCCAGAGCATGTTTCCAGCTGGTGTCCATGCTCATGCATTCTCCCACTGGTTGGCTACTAAATGTCCGAGCCCATCCAGAACCCTTGTCACAGTAGCTGCACCCTCCTCACACCAGCCCCTTCCTCAAAGGGAAAGTGACTCTGCTGAGGGCAGCCAAGCTCCTGCCCTTACCAAAAGGCAGCAGAAGAAAAATCAGGGGCCTGTTGGCTTCAAAAACCATTGCCTTCTGGACCCTGTACTGTGAGTGAACAGGGACCTGTGGGGTAGGACAGTGTCAGAAAGAGGGTGAGGAGTGGAGAGGGGAGCAGAAGACAGAAGGCTGTACTCCCACCAACCCACAGCATGATGATCTGGGGCAAAGTAGCCGCCTTTCACGGCTTCAGTGTTCCTCCCTGGGGCATGGGATGGATAGCCTCAGGCTCATAGTATCCTGCCTCTAAAACACTTCTCAAGCTTCGCACAGAGCAGCTTGCTTTCCTAACCCTGACTCTAGCTCCTGTGCCCAGGTGGCCCTGCTTGGGAGGGGGGTTTCTAAGGACAAGACGTGGAAGAACTCCGGCAGCCCTGCTGAGCCTGATTGCCTGCCAGGTCCAGGGGAGGCAGTGGGGCTGCCCTGTGGCTCCACATTCCAGCATCCAGTAGGGACAGGTCCCTGACACTTCTACCTACACTCTCTGAGAGCCCAGCTTCCCAGGGCAACGTAGCGTCTCTGATACTACTGCTTATGACAACCCAGTGCACTCTGGTTCTCCAAGGAGAGTAGAAAAACCATGCTCATTACTACAGAATGGCTGTGCGAGCTATTTTTGTTCCCTATCAGCTCATTCCTAAGACACCTGGGCCTCGGCGGGGTTGTGAAATGGGCCTGCACCTGACATCAGTCCCAAATCTGCCACTGATTATAAACCCTCTCCCTGTCTAGGCCCCCGTTTTCTCTGTAAAGGAAGAGGGGTGTATAGGCAGGATCTCTAGAGAAACAGAACCAACAGCATATATGACTATCAAACTAACGACTGACATTTGTGAATAAATTTCTTCTCTCCAATTCTGACCAATTAATTGTCTTTCTGGAGCACTGTGTTGAGAAGGATTCTGAGACCACAGTCAGGCTTAGCGGAGAGAGTGCTATGATTGATTAGTAATGTCTGCCCTGGGCTCAGGATAAGTCAGTGGGCCGTATGAGGTGCAGGTACCTGCCAATCCTGACACACAACAGTAAACACTTGTTTGACCAAAGCAACTTTAGCGATGCTTTCCAGAGGGTGGGAGTGGCAGAATCCCAGCCTCAGGGTCAGAAGGCCTGGATTCTCACTTGCTGTGCCATTAACCAACTGCATGACTTGGGTAAGCGAGTCTTTGCGCCTCCGCTGTCTCCCTCTGGAAATAAAGCCTTGGGATTTTTGTGAGGCTGAAAGTTGACAGAATATAAGAAAGTGACCATTCAAGGTGACGTACTGGCCATTTCTTTTGTTGATTTTCCAGGAGACCTGGTATTGGCATGAAAACATCAATGCCAACAAAGTAGTCATGAGCGGAGTGAAGTGCTCAGGAACGGAGCTGTCCCTGGAACACTGTCGCCACGACGGAGAGGATGTGGCCTGCCCCCAGGGCAGAACGCAGTATGGGGCCGGAGTCGCCTGCTCAGAAAGTGAGAGTTCCTGGGGTTCACATCCACCCTTTCTCCCCACCGGGCTCCAGGAAGGGACCAGAGTCTTACTGGGGCCTCTGCCATGAGCCTAGCAAAAGAGGAAAGCAGAGGTTAATTCTTATTCAGTGAGAAGTTGGAGGCAAAAGGGATTCCCCCAACCCCAACCACAGAACTTTGCCTGGTGACAGGGGGAAGGAAAGCAGGTCGGAGGGACTGGGAAGTCTAGGGACCTTGGGTTCAAATCTCAGGGCCACTGTAGACTATTTAAGTGACCTTGGGTGAATTATGGACTGGGAACTCCTTGTTCTTACCAGTTAGTGAGGAAGAGACCGCTTTCCGTGGAGGATGTTCCTGAGGTTAGTGAAGCATGAAGCTCATGCTAGGTGCTGTGCTTCCTTTCTTCACCCTGCTCCTGGAGGAAATTTAGCTTCCTGGCAACTCCCTGGAATCCTTAGAGCAGCGGTTCTCAACCTTTCACAGGGGTCGCCTAAGACCATCGGAAAACACATACCTTCGATGATCTTAGGAACCGAGACACCGCTCCTCTATCCGTCTCCAGGCCCACATGCAGATACGCCCACATACGAGTACCCAGCGACCCCTGTGAAAGGGCCGTTCGACCCCCAAAGGGGTCGCGACCCACAGGTTGAGAACCGCTGCTCTAGAGAGACTGAAAATATAGAAGGGGAAGGCCCAGCAGAATTCTAGCCGGAGAAGGTTCCATTTCACGCTGAGAGAGAGAGAGAACCAGGGGACAGCCTGGGGGCATGTCACTCTCCAGAGCCCCAAACTCTGCTCTCCCCACCCCTGGCCTTGTAAAACCACTTCCTGGTGAACTGGGGAGGCGGGAGAGGCCTAGGACCTGGCCAGACAACTTGAGACCAGACCCTGCCTGTCACTTATTGCTGATATTGGCAAAGCTAGTTAACTGCTATGATCTATAGATATCACTATTGTTTTATCTGGAAACTGGAAATTAAATGTGAAAATGAATATATGCAGTGCTTAATAAACAACAATGCACTGTCATTTATCATCACGGAAAACTAGGGAGAAGATTAAACCTTGAGCTCAGTCAGTTCGATTCTCCCATCAACACTTTTTAGACTCACTCAGCATTTCCAAACCCATGTAAGGCAGGACCCTCTACTCCAGTGCAGGCTTCTTTGGGCAGACAGCCCAAGCTCTCACATCCTGAGAGGACAGACTAAGATCATCACCTTCTATCAGCCCCCCGGGGAAGAACATCCAAGCAGATAGAAGTGGTCTCACTACTGCTAGGGCCCTTTTCTTGGTATTAATGAATTAATTAATTTATTTATTTATTTTAAAGATTTTTATTGGGGAATTGGGGGAAGGGGAACAGACAAGTTGCTGGTTTTTTGTTCTTCAGTCTAGTTGTGGAGGACGTTGCTTCACTGGCCCAAGTTGGTACCATCATTGCGCTCTTCCTAGGCGAGGCAGATCAGTCGCCGGCTTCTGGACGGCCGCTCACTGCGGCTGCTGGCTACACACGGTAGCCCATGGCAACCCACTGCAGCAGAGGCTGCAGCCTATGCCATCGCCGGGGACTCATGGCAACCCAGCTCCAGGTTGAACTGTTGTTCAGCATCTTAGCTGTAGAGGGCAGTGTCACTGGCCCTCATATGTGGGATCCGAACCGGGGCCCTTTGGCATCCCAAGCCAGCTCTTAACCAACGCGCCACTCGGCCGGCCCGGTATTAATTTATTTGTATTTGTAATGTACCATTTTTTTTTCCAAAAGGAAATTTAGATAATATAAACCTAAGTAAAATTCAAGGTAACATAAGATAAAAGCAGATGAATAAAAAGTAGGTATTTGCAAAAAGGTAGTGGCCCCATTTGGAGCCAAGAGATAGGTTAATAAAAAATATGTACTGTGGAGTCCTATACATTTACTACGGAGAGGTTATAAATTTTACAGTGGGCTTCCTAGCAGCCAAAGGAAAGAGGGAAACCTGTTCATTACTATAATTCACAGTATCCACAAGATAGAAAGAAGCAAACCCATGAGTCAAATAGAAGCCCACCTTTCTATGAAGGGAATTCTTTATTATGAGGACTGAGAGTTATTAGATAAGCAATGCCCTCCACATCCTCATGGCAGACCAAAAATGAGTTTCATGGGGCTATTGCTCACAGAACCCCTCAGCTTAGGCTGAAGGCATCACTCAGAGTCTGCAGGGGGGCAATAGCCATTTGGATCAGAAATGCTGATCTGGCTTAATACTTTATTCAGAGAGATAAAGGATGTTCTTCGGGCAACCCTTTGCGATTGCTTTCCCTCATCCAAACAATTACACATGCTCCAAATCTGCAAGTCCTCCCCCATCTGTCTCTCTCTTTCTCTTCCTCATCACCCCTATATTTAGCCCATCTTGATTTTTACCTTTCTGTATTTTCTCAACAACCTCTACCTCCTTCCATCCCACTGTCACGGCTTGCATCTGGGTGACCATCTTCCACACTGTGTTACCGCAGCGTCTCCTCCCTGGGATCCCCAAAGGCGACCTGTGCCTCCAGTGGCCTCCCCTCCCTGAAACCAGAGTCAGTGCTGGTCTCCCACGCATGCTCTCTCCTGATCAAACGTCGTCCAGGCTTTCCCACTGTGCTAAGTGGAGGACCCTGGGACAAGCACAAGAAGCGTGTCGACCAGCCTCATTTCAAGCCACTTCTGCCCCCCACCCTACCTCCGCGTCCTGACCACACAAGCTTTGGCCCCTCCTTAACGCCACATGCCCTTTGTTTTGCCTGAAGTGCTCTCCCTGCCCTCACATGTTAGTTATTTACTCTAATCTCTGCTCATCCTCCAGGGAACAACTAAACTGTAACTGCCTCCCTGACTCCCCTTACACTGAGTCCCCCTTGTTATAATTCCCAACATATCCCATATTTCTCCATCCAGCTGGGTCTGCAATTATACTTAAGTAATTCATATTGCTCCTGTTTCTCCTGCTAGAATATAAGGTGTGCCTTGTGTAGTACTGTCCAGAGAGCCTAGCACAGTGTTCATCATAATACTTGGTGGATGGGTGGATGAATATGTGCTTCCGATGAGTTGGTGCATGTTCTGGATTGTAGGGAGGTCAAGGCCATGTCCCATGACAGGTGCTGAGAGCACAGACCCCACGTATCAGCTAAGTGCAGGGCACATTATGTTAAGACTCCTGAGATGGAGGTAGGACTGGCCTCCTCTCAGACAGAGGAGGGTCTGATGGAGACCCCTCTGCAAAGCTCAGAGGTAAGCAGAGGGCTATCCATTGAGTACTGACTAGTGTACAGACAACTAATAAGAGACTATCAACGCCCTCTGATAAAAGTGTCCGGAGCCCTCAGTGCCAGCAGTGTTGTATCCTGGCATGTGCCCTCCAAGGGGATGAGCTCTCAGCCAACGGAAGCCTCCTGATGTCTGTCTTCCACTCATAACCCCACATCCTACCTGTGTGCCCTTTCACTACCCTTTCATCCCCTATCCAATCCCTGGGGCAAATTTGCTTTCTAGAGCCCCCCCTCCCCCACCAGCCCCACCAGGTGCAAGCAGTTCCTTGGGAACCTGCTGTGCTCCAAGTGCTGTGGGGATGGGGTGCTGTGGGCAGGGGGTGCAGATGAGCGGAGAGCGCTCCAGGTTCCGGTGAACTTGAGGGGAGCAAAGCTCACAGATGCACATGCACTTCAGAAATGTATAAGCAACTTGTCGGATGGATCTGGTTGTAAATTAATCATGCACAACAGTTTTGTGAATTGGCATGTACTAGAAATGTTCAATGGAATCTCACTTTTAAAGGGAAACCTAGAGTTAATCCTTTTGTAAAGAAACAAAAGCTATATGCTGATACAGTAAAAATGGATTGTAGTCATCAGTAATTTAACACCTGCTATGTGCAATGCGGTAATCGAGTAAATCAACCTTGTTTTAAAAGATGCACTTTTATCTATTTATTTATTTTATTGTTAGTTTCAGGTGGGTACAGAACAATGCAATAGTTATCCTTTTCACCCTTCACACAGAAACAACCTCCCTCCCCCATCTACTGCCCTCCCACCCCCCGATATCATACTTATCTATTACAATTCCATTGACTCCATTCCCACACTCTACTCCACATCATGCGACTATATGTATATATAATTATAATTGACATACAATATTATTCAACATCAGCTTCAGAAATACAGTGCGGTGGTCAGGCCTCTATAAAAGATGCACTTTTAAAACTCTCGCCAAGAGCCAGTGTGAGTAGAAACTGAAAGAACCTGTTAAGAAGGTGATTTGGCAATGTACATCAGAACCTTGGAAATATGCAACACTTCCTCCTAGCAATTTCACTGATAGAACGATATTCTAAGGAAATAATTTAAGTTATATACACAGATTAACCACAGGAAGTTTCTCACAGGTTTATCTTTAACTGGGAAAAATTTCAAGCAACCAATGTATCTAAAAATATGGGTTAGGGTTATTAATTAAATATTACGTAGCCAATGAATTTTGTAATGGATATTTATTAACAAGGAAATACGTCAAGATATATTTGAAGGGAGACAGTATTAGCAGACTATAAAGCTACATACAACATTACACCCACTGGAAAATAGATCTGAATCACTCCCAGAAGAATCAGACCAAGGTATTAAGAGGGTTCTCTCTCTGAATAAAGAGAACATTATTATTGTTTTCCTTTTATTATGGAAAATCTCAAGCCACTCAAAAGTAGAGAGAATAATATAATGAGCCCTCATGTATCCATCATCCAGAATGAACAACTGTCAACATCTGCACTGATACCTGCAGAGGTGTCCAGGAGGACTCTCAGAGAAGGGGAAGAGGAATTTGGGGGTAGTAGTGGTCCTCAAGGAAGGTGACCTCGAGGGGGAGGCCATGAGCCAGGACCAGGAGGTGATGCTAAGCAGGGACAGAGGTTTGTCCTAGTTCAGGAATCAGGGTCCCAAATACTTGGGAAGGGATGAGGGGTCTCTTGTCTTTCCTTGAACACCGTGTCTGTACCCCCAGCCGCCCCTGACCTGGTCCTCAATGCGGAGATTGTCCAGCAGAGCACCTACCTGGAGGACCGGCCCATGTTCATGCTCCAGTGTGCCATGGAGGAGAACTGCCTCTCGGCCTCAGCCGCCCAGACCAACCCCACCACAGGCTACCGGCGGCTGCTGCGTTTCTCCTCCCAGATCCACAACAATGGCCAGTCCGACTTCCGACCCAAGAACGGTCGCCATGCATGGATCTGGCATGACTGCCACAGGTAAGCCCCGCTTCCATCGTCACCAAGTTGCCCCAGCTCGACACCCCACAGGGCCCAGATGGGATTCAGAATCACAGGGCCACTTAGAGAGGCCACACCATCTAGGGGACAGGGTTTTCCTACGTTGGTAGGAGTGGGGTCAGCCACACTGGCCTGCCACATTTACGGAAGCTCTTCTCTGCTCCGTATTGCCCTGGCCTGCCTCACCTTCCCTGAGCCCGTTGTCTGCCTTGCCTCCAATGCCCCTAACATTAGGAAACAATTTTGTTTTGAGTACCCAGGGCCCCTCCATTGACCTCGGTCATGGTTTTCAAGTGTGTCCACAGGAAGTTCTTGTTCTACAGGGTGCTTTGGGGCTTTACAATTATTAGACTCTGAGTTCATTTAGAAATATATTTTAAATACCAGAATACATTTTAAATATCTCTAGGAAGACAGTGGATGTGGAGACAAGTTTCTGGCCCCAGGAGCCATGAGATCTGGTCTCTCAACCCAGCTGTGCCTCTAACCGGCTGCGTGATGTCAGGCCAGCTGGGCCACATCACCCAGGACTTCTAATGTCCCTTCCAGCCCTTGGTCTGTGGATCCGATCCCAGAGCTATAAATCCTGACCAAGAACAGAGTGAAATCTTAGAGCCAGTCCTTGCTGGAGCCAACAAAAGCCACCCTGTTCATCCACCAGCCTTTCCTTGTTTTTTTTTTGTGGGGTTTTTTTTTCTTTGCCTTGATTCTTATTCTAATCCAGAACCTCTGCCCCTGCTTGTTCACAGTGCCCTGTTCATTCATATTTTCCTGCTCAGATCTGAGCTGGGCAGGTAGAACGAACAGGAGCAAGCATACTTTTGAAAAGAAAGGGAGGGGGCCCCTACCATTCAGCAGGTGGCAGCAGTCCCCTGATGGGTCCACAGACGTTGGCCCAGGGAGCTGCCATCTCTCTGCTCAGAATCCCAGCTACACAACAGAGCTTTAGCACTAGGTCCCTACTTCTCAAAGTAAGGCCCGTGGGCTGGCATATCTGCCATCAGTGCTGCACCCAGCGCAGACCTTGCATCGGAATCTGCATTTTAACAGGATCACCAGGAGCTTGTGTGCACATCACAGTCTGAGAAGCCCCTGTCTAGCTCATCTCTAGGTGTCCTTCCTGCTCCAAAATGCAGTGATCATTGTTAGGGGCATAAGAACTAGCATTCATCGATCCTTCTAAGTGCTGGGCACAGGATACCCTCATTTTCACGGGTAAGGAAATGGAGGCTCGGTGTTTGTATGATACAGGAAGTCGTGGGGTGGGGCTTTCGACTCGGGCCTGTCTGTCCCCGGAGTGTGTGCTTTCTGTCACCTCCACTGACCCTTCATCAGAAATCTGTCTCTGGCTGCTTTTTCATGTGACAACTGATGGTCTAGTCACATTTGAATCAGTTTTGGATAGAGTTGGTCAACCTGTTTCCAAAGAAAGGACTATGATAGAACTTAGGGATGCTGGTTTTCCTTTATAATTACTATCTGTGCATTCTGAAAGTCCTGATTAGTCAAAGAATTGCCCTTTATGTAGAAGCATGTTGGTCTTCTGCAGGGTAGAAGTCAGTGGGTAAAATGAAAATCATGGCCATTTTGGTGCCTGACTTCCTTAGTGAACGCAGAGTGGAAACATGACCCTGTGGGACTGACGCTGCCTGGGCGTCTATAAGCAGAAGGTAATTGCATCTGTGTCCCACACATGGCGGTCCACCCAGACATTACATGGAAGGAGTCTCTGTGTGACATATGCTTGCTCTCCCAGGAATGGTCTCTCCTCTGGGTATACACATGTTGACATTGTGAAAATGCCACTTCTGATCGTCCCACCCCTGCTTGTGGTCTGTGTTACGTCTCTGCTTACAGATGTTCCAGTAAATGGTTTGGGAGGGATGGGTGGAAAGGAACATGTGGCTAAGCATATGTTCCCTCAGACCTCCCCTCTTGGTCTATAACTGAGAATCTAGGACCGTAAGATTCCCAGGGCGCAGAAGAGGGCCCCCCATGCAGCCTCCAGAGCTCCGGGGATTTCTCCAGGCTCTGTGGAAGAACCTTTCAACAGGACTCCTGGCTCCAAACCTCTGTTGGGTCCCTTTGGGACTTTGATGAAAGCTGGCCTTTCCTCCACTCAAAAAAATTCTTTCTAGAATATTTGACATCCTATTTCAGCAGATCTGCAGATCCTCTGGGCCCATCTGTGGAGTCAAATTGAGAACGCTGGCTCACATTAGTGCAAACAAGGAAAAGTATTTCTCCCAATATTTGGTGCTCCAGTGAGGAACAGAGCTATGTTCTTGGAAACACAGAGATTGACAGCCTTAGGCGTCTCCTCACCAACCAGACAGAGCTCTTTCTCATATGCATTCCTCTTGTGTGGTGATCTTGCTGAGGTCCCCCTCCTGCTTCTTATGCCCCCAGGGAGGGGAGCCACACCTGCTTACCTGGCACATCATGTCACTGCTTTGACAGGGGCCAAACAAAGCTGAGCATAGATGCACGCCAGGGCACAGAGCAGCTCTGCCCCTGCTGTGTCCTAGAGGCTGGCCCTCCCGCCTTGGGGAAGCCTGCAGGAGGTGCTGGAGCTGGAGAAGCAGGGATGTGGACATCCAGCACGGGCGCCAGCCCTCCGAGTCAGGGCTAGCTTTGCTACAGAGGGGAGACTTTCGTTTGCTCCACCCTACCTCTCCCATGTGTAGAGCAGCCCCATGTTGGATGTGATGTGGACTCTGTGAGCCAATTTTAGTCCCTCATCACATCTGTGGGGCTTTGTCCTGGCCCGGATGGGGGGATGGGGTGCCTAGCATGTCAGGAATGCAGGATGGAACAAGAGGAAGGGTCCCTGCCCATTGTGGCAGCACCTCCGGAGACTGGAACATACCCTGAAATGGGGACAGAAACATAGTCCCACCACCGCTGAGCACCAGCCAGGACCGTCCATTCTGGAGGCACCAGGAGACAGGTGGCTGGTGTGGCAAAAGGATGAAGAGTGACACACATCTCCTCTCCAACGCGCACCGGTTCTCTGATTGAAAGTGTTATTTGGGCCCCCAGTGACCTAAGATAGCAAAGAATATACCCAAACTTCCCACCTTTCTCTGGACTAGCTTTGTCTGTCATCAAGTGCGCATCCAGTACCTCCTTCTTCCACGAGTACCCTGTCTTCTAATACTGGCCTTTTGGAGTCTTACGGTAGAAGGCTGTCCTTCCTTTATCCAGGTTACAATGATCAAGTGTCAGGTTATTCTCGCCCCTTAATGTTCTGGACTTTCTTTCCAAGTGGAGTTTTCCTATCTCTACCCCATGGATCAGGCCCCCTCTTAGACGTCCAAAGGTCAGGACACCTCAGCCTAGAGAGAGGACGGGTACCCTCATCACCAAGACGCCCCTGCGCGCTCCACCCAGCTGGGAGGGAGACGTGGCCCCGGGGGTGGTATCCACGTATGCCGGAGAGATAAAGCAGAGAGGCCCCAGGACCGACCGCAGCTAGAATTGGGAGGCTCCAAACCAGCTGTTTCTCACCCGGTGTTCATAGGGGAAAAACTGAAGAGCTGAGAAAGACTCTTAAATTAAGTTTTCAGGAAGCAGGGGGAGCGAGAGGAGGTCAGCCTTACAACAGTCCGTCTGTGGCCTCTGTCTGAATTCTGTTTAGGCAACGGAACACAGACCTATTTCTCTTCAGTTTTTCCAGCTGGTAAACACGGTAACAGAAGCCGCTCTCTGAAAGATGCAGACATGTTTTAGGCAATGAGTCAGACCTCATGTCTCATCTTGCTCCTTCAAGAAGCCAAAAGAGACTCCTTCAAAGTCATCACCTTCAGCTGCCACAAAATGTGGCCTTGTGAATGTTCTCGGTGGGCCCCTGGCTCAGCATCATTTTACCCAGAAACATGAGTGACCTGGGGAAAGCCCAACATAGGAACTTCTGACATTATTTTTAGCACAAGCAAACACAGGTGGAATGGAGGAAAGAACCTCTAATTTCCTCTCTGAAAACCTAGCCTTTTAATTCCCCCTCTTCCCTCTGTCCTCCACGGCTGGTGGAAGAAACCTGAGGCCAACCAGTGAGGCTTGGGAAGGGAGGAAGCTACTGTGGGCCTGGGAATAATCATAGGAATGGGAGCGGTGGCGGAAATAAAAATACTCCTTCTGTTACTACTGGAACTAGTAATAAGGAGAGAGTTGACAGGTACGGAGCACTCCTCTGTCACCAGCCCTGCGTTAAGCCTTTCTGCGATTTCTCCCATGCGATGATCCTTACAGTACCCCTGAGACTCGGTCACGTTATCGGTTTCTCTTCCCTGAGGAGAAAATTCAGGTTACGTGTAAACAAAACAAGTGATTGTGCTTCCCGTGCCTTGGCACCTAGTCTTCCACTTTCCTCATTCTTACAAATGTCCCTATTGTGAGAGACGAGCGTGTTCAGTAGTTGCAGAC